CACTTCCGATTTCGTATTTTCGTTGATGTTGTTGAAATTCATTTCACGCTTGAAACCCGCTTTTAGTTCCGCTATTTCACCTGAATTATCCGCGAATATCAATTTTTTAATGAGGATTTTTGAGTATCATATTTTTTTAGGAATTGGATTCTTTTGCTACCTGGATGCTAGGCTTGCTGGATAAAATGTCCTCCATCTTTCTTCTTCGTCCCTCGTTCGCCTCACTGTCCTCTTTCCTCCATTGCTGCTCCTTCCTCGCTTCAACCTTTCAGCCCCACTTGAAAGGCAAATTTTCCAATAAAACAATAGCAATTTGGTTAGTTGTGCTTGCCTCCTTATGTCGATTATTGAGCAATATGGCCATGGCCAGTGGCTTGCACAGTGGTCCCAAGAGATGGCTGGGGCAGGAGGGAGGCCAAGGCTTTGGCCCATAAATCACAAACATAATGATGCGCTGTCTATTGCCGAAATGGCTTTCGCGAAAAGCAAAATGCCTCTGCTCTGCATTGGAAGGCCCACAGAAAATGCATTCAGAAATCCAGCTTAGCTTGGCTCAAGAATTGAATTCTATCAGTTTGTCCTTAAAATGCCATTAATTTGGCGTACTCAATGCGAGGAGGATAAGGAAGGCTTAAACAAGAAAGCGAGGGAATAGTTTGGTGCTCCTGCAATATTCAATAATACTAAGCGACATTGGAACGAATCCCTAATGTGGATGATTTCTGGATGCAAGAGCCGAGCACAGTTATTTTCTGGCGCCCTTTCCTGAATTTTAGATAACCATTATACCTTTCTATCAGTGATGTTCCTTCCTTCATTTTTTTCACTTTTTTATGGTACAAAAATGCATTTTTAAAAGGCCTCGAGTTCAACAAAAGGCGTGCCGAGCAGAAGATAACTCAAAATTTCTGCTGAGCAAATTTATGTGGCCGGAAAAAAAATTGGATGAAATTTCTTGAAATTTCGAAGACTCTCACGTTTATGTGAGCTGATTGCTCACCGCTGCCACATTATTGGCCTTTATGATGTTTGTGGAAGAAATGTCACCGACTAGGTCCTTGTTGGATGTCGACAGATCCCCGCGGTGATCATGCTGCGTCCCAGCGGGAAGTCCCGCGGTGGGAAAAATCATCCTTCAAAACTGCTTTATTTCCAGGTGACGTGTTTAAGTTCAGCCTCCCCTGTATTTGTCCTCTGTTGTTGAAATGTCGTTTCGAGTACAACTCATTCAATCAATTAGCGCTTTTCCCTCAGTTTTATCACATCGCATCGCACCTCATTTCATACCAAGACGGCTGGCCTCCACGATTGGCAAGGAAAGGATCCGCAAAAAACAAAACAATCTTTGGCATTTCCGAAATACTTCAGTACTAGTTAATAACTACTCCTAGAATAGCGCTTTTAATCTTGCTCAAGTACCTAAAAAAAAAAAAAAAGTACCTAAAATTTTTCAAAAACATTTCTTAAATTTTGGAGAAATTTTGAATTTTAGAAAAACACATCTGCATAACTTAATAAAAGCCGTGAAAAAGGGTAAAAGACTACCAGTCGTAAAAAACATTATTAGGTCATTTTATTCTGCTTTTTTTTCGGAAATGTGTAAAAATTCCTGTGGACCTTCCAGAGTACTGGTTTTTACTACATGATAAAAAAAATCCTGAAGCACTCATTTTCACAGGCACTCAAAGTCCGTTCCTTTAAATTACACTAGGAAGAGTGACTCAACAAGTGCTAATGAAAGCCAGCTCATGGCTACTATTAGCAAATTGCTGTCACTCGGACTATTCCGAAAACTTCCGCTTTTTTTAAGGGCACAGGTGAAATTCCCCTGTACATGGTGAATCGGGGAGTTCTATCTGTATTCTTAAAAAGTAACCCTGATTTGTTTTCTAAAATCAGCGAATGTTAAGAAAAATATGATTATGGAGCTGTTTTCAGAATCATAAAACTGCCTTATTAAGTACTCATATGGTTGGCTTGACCAATTAAGCATTTGGATCGGTCTGTCTTGCAAAATCAATCCTTTTCCAAGGGCCAGCGCCGGCCAAAAACTACGCCAATACAATCAGCCCCCCATAAAAGCCTATCAAATTGCAAAATGTTTGCATTAGAAATGCATTAAAAGTGGAATATGTTCAGTTTCAGATGTGCGTTTCTCTTTCTCCCTCTGAATTGACATCTGTTGTGCTGTATGGTCGTTCTGGATATTCAGCACAGCTTTCCGAATAACAATGATACAGCAGAGGAATAGACTGGCTACAGACCCAGACACCTACCGTATCGCCTCTATCATTGTGAAAATGATTCATAAACAGTAAATGTAACAAAATTTTGACTGGTCATTCGAGTTTAAAATTATAAAAAAAACTAAAAAAAATTGAAATCGCCAATAGGCTGTCCACAAAGCAATGCTGTATTGGCCAATGAACCGGAAAAGTTGCCATCTGCACAGCTGGAGGGAGAATCACACCAAAAATTGCAGCTGAATCAATTCATCCAAGTTGGTACGAGAAAAAGCAGGAAATATGGGATTAGTGGAGCTCACCACAGGACACTTTTAAGAATAAAATTTAAGTACTTTCGTTCTTATTCTTGTAATATGCCAC